TCCCACGGCACCATCTTTCATTGTTGTTACCAAAATGTCTCACCGAGTTGTAAGATGACTGGAAAAAAAATTAACCTTGAGACTAAAAAACTGATCACCCACGTGATCAGTTCCAGTAGGGTGGTCAAGGGTACTGTAAAGTTAACGACGATAAAGTTAAATTAATTTCTGAGGTAAATAATGGAGTGTAAAGATAAGAAACCCAGTAATGTTTGCATTCAGAGCGAAGACAGGAAAATGAAATGTTATAATCTCACATGACGCTCACAAGATGTACAGTGTATCTTAAACGGAAATAAACTCCACGGGTAACCCAAGTGAATAGCGAACACAACCTCCTACCTTTTCCACCCGAAACATAACCCATTCTAACCTTGTATACAGTACTGTATATGTTTTAGGCATAAATTTTTATTTGGAGATTCTACGTTCTGATTTTCGAGGAATTTACTATAATTTTGAAGAAAATATAAATAAATAGATTTTAGTCGCTCACAAATCTGGGATCATTTGTTGAGATTATTAATGAAGTGTGGAGCTGATGACCAGAGATTAAAATGCACAAGCTGCGTATAAAAACTATTGTTACATATATTGTACACTTTACTACGAAACCATAGAGTAAAAATGCACCACCCCATTTACAAGCTGAAAAAGGGTAGTTTTGAACTTTGTCGTAATATTCATTTGATTTTACATCATTCTTTTTGTAGAGGCAACTAGTCCACCAGTTTTCCAGTAGGTGCTTCATGCCTACAGTACAGTATATTCACTTCTTGGTTCCCACTGAAAGATGACTACAGTAAGTCAACAATAGAGTAGATTTCTATAACATCTGTGGACCAAAAAGGACTTGTGTGATGTTATTCCCATCCGATCATTACACAATACTTTGTGTTATCCACCAGTTTCAAACGCATTGTATAAAATGGTACCAGTTCTGGATGTTGTTCTAATTTCCTTGATTGGAGCTGCCACCACAAACTGGACTGCTAATACACGGAGCCACTCTTTTTTATGACTTGAAAATACAGCATAAGAACGAGATTCTGTATTTCAAATGTTAACAGGCGAGATTACGATTTTGTTAGGTAAAAATGTAAGACACCAGGTATGTACCAGGAAACACCATTTGTTTCACTGCAAAAAAAGTACTGTACCTATAAGCCATGGTGTAAGACTTCTCCGAAACCCGAGGTCGATAGCTTTGTTAATACTGTAATTAAATTGTGGCTGGCTAAAGCGAATGCCTTGGTGAAGTCATTGAAGGCAACAGCCACAGGCGTCTTGAGTTTTTCCAAATGACGGTACATGTAATCGAGAAAGCTGACCAGACAGTAGGTGAGGGAGGAATTTTTCATAGTGCCATATTGCTGAGGATGTAAGGCGCCTGCAATATCAGCGTAGGCCCAGTCAAAAAGACAACTTCAGCAGATTAAGCTGGGTATTGGGGTGATGGCAGTCGGATATAACTCGTATAAGGATTGTGGGCTCGTTGAATTGGGCACTCACTGGTCACACACACGAAGTCTTCCGGTCAGCGAGGTTGTAGAGACGAACTTTCCAAACTTATATTCTGGCAGACTCCAAGTATAGTACACCAGTGACTTATGTTTTGTTTCTGGAAAGTCTAAGTACTGTAGTGCCTAAAAGAAATTAACTTTGGAATTTGTCATTAAAATGTCAACCGAGCATATATTACCTGCATAAGTTGAACGCATAACATTTGTATATGCATCGTGATTATATTATTCCAAGTTTGTACAAGACATACCAACTCTGACCAGGAAATGGAAATACCTGTACACATATTGTATAATTATTTAGATTGGACTACAGGTACAGTACTGTTCTGGCAGGGTTACTTACGAGAGGATAAGCTGACAGGGTTCCCCATCGTGTTTAAGAGGAAATGTATTGTATATCCTGGAACTGGAAGCTCTCATATTCATCTTACTCCATCAGGGTAATGTCATCAGCAGAGTGAAGTCCTGTTGCACGCCACTTTTTTTTTTTTAAGATTTGTAGGTATGTTACCTACGATTAAGGTAACTCGTTTGGAAAGAAATAATGGAAAAGAAAGGGACAATGAAAATCGTTCAGAATGTTCTTGGTTATCTTGAAGTGCAGCACAATAAAAGATTTATGATAATTAATGTAGAGTGATTGAATTGGTACTCCGTGAAATCCTTGACACTATCTGGTGTAAACTGCCCACCTAACCATTCCTTTGTGTGAAGAAACGCAGGGCTTTTCTCAACGTTGTCAACTTAGGTTTAATGTCTGTTGTGGTGCCTTTTTTACTTCTCTATAAAGTGTGAAGTAAAGAGGATGACCGACAGTGACACGAATTGTTCATAATTGCCTGTAATACCGATTGATCATATGCCTGGCAGCACCGCGGAAGTAGGTGGTCCCAGTGGATGATAAAATACCAATTAGTCAATCGGAAAAAAGAATTTCATAAAATTGTTAAACGCAGTTCGAAACAGAAGGTTAAGTGGCGCTTGCTTAAAAGTACTGCTCTTAGATAGATATTCAGTTATTTACTTGTGAAAGGTTTTGGGGGAATATTGTTGTACCTTACATACCCTACCTGGTCATTGTCTTCACTCTAGAAGTTGAGTTTCGTACAAGTTAAAAATACTGGTTGGTCAGGGGTTTTTTTGTGGGAGGGGGGGGGGGGTTATTTGATGATGATTTATGAGTTGGTGTAGAAGCTTGTTGCATTAACGTCCTCTGAGTGAGCATCCTTCTATTATCACTCCTGAGTGCCTCAATGAGTAGGATTGCTTTTGTTGGGGAAATAAATTTCTACCACTCCTTAAGAGAAAAACTCACAAACAATTATGACGTTAAATAATAGACTATGAATACAGATTTAGGTCTTAATAAGTTTTAAAATTTTCTGGAAAGTAATGAGTTAAATATGGCGGAACCTCTGAGAACATTAGAGGAAACAGTTCGCTTCCAACCAGTCTAATAAACGTCAGGGAGTAAGGCGCTCTCCATAGATGAAATAATTAGCTTAATTTCTAATGTGATGCTGAGATTGAGAACCCCAGTACGTATTTGAAGCTCAGAATGCCGTGCAGTACAGTAGTGGCATTCCTTATATTGTTCATTTGCATTTACATTGACGACTGTGAATTCCTTGCTGGGATTCACCGTCCACTAATTTGTGAGTTATTGTATGAATAACGTCGCCAGCTTTAGTGAGGGCAACATACGTCCAGGTCATAACATGGAGAGCTCGTCGCCTCCTACCCCATTAAGTTCACAGTTTGCTCTCGAGTGTGGATCCCAAGTTATGTAACACCAGATGAGGTAGAGCCACGTCTCTATATCCGTTCATCGGAGTGTGACTGAGAATAACCTTGTCAACATATTAGCTTTGTCGCCGTGTTACCACTTAACTCCACATTTCTCTGTCAATTTCCTGGCTGATCCTTCACTGGCCGGATGTCCCTCGAAATTTACAATATGGTCGGTGTGGTCAATGTTATCCGGAAAATGATTGGTTAATGCAGCATTAGGCAAACGAGCGTTGGCGTTCGCCCTTATGGAGGTTCTATATTTGCAAGATATTTTTACTCTTGCCTGTACATTAAAGCTTCAATTTTCACCCCACCGCCGGCCTGTCTTCCTGTTTGATTACGTAATTTTATTCCCCGGCTTTGTGGAACTCAGAATTGGTATTGCACTTTGCCTGTCTGTTAACATTATGGTTGTTAGGCGACGAAACCTCCTTATCTTGTACATTATACTTTTTCCAGGGAAATTTTCCTAGAATATGCAGAAGCCTATTGCCTTTTAGGTCAGGTCACGGTCACCTCACTAACTCGACCTTTCTGCATTCTTTTTAGTGTTGTAGTGTGTTACTTGAGGGAACTTTTCTTAGTAACAGATAACATAATAACTTATATTTTAGGCACTCGTTCATTTTTTTGGTCAGCTTTGAGTTAATTTCAGTAATGTTTATTATGAGATACAATATAAACTTCTTGTAAGTATTTCCTAGTTAGATGAAGCTCGCCGACCTTGTGTCAGACAATTTTTTCCGTTTGGCTACAGTAAAGTGAGTGCTCTTAGCGTTTGAAATATTAATATTTCTAGTTGGTATTTTGGCGTTATGTAGTAGTGGATGAAATAAATCCTAGAAAAAGGTCTTGGAGATGAAAGAGTTTTTTCTTCTATATGGGATCCTCCAGGAGTAGAGGAGCGGCCACAGGCAGTTTTTGTGTTGTGTTGAGACAGATTAGAGATGCTATGACCTTTTGTATGTCTGATACCAACTAGGTGAGGTATTACGTAAGATGTAGTGCTGTGAAATGCGCAATGGACATTTAGACACGTTTTGATAAAAAGTACATTACAGAGTACTTTCTATTCCAAAACTGTACAAGTAAATATTTCAAGTTAATGTTTATTTACTATATAGTGTAAAATATTTAAATTATTGTCCACAATTAATGAAAGTAAATCACAGTGACTTCACTCACATCCAGTGCTGATTTAATATTCGCCCTCCATTATTATCTATGACTCTATCCTGCTTGACATAGAGGCCTCGTTGTTATCCGTCGTAATTGTTGGTGGAAGCTCTTGTCTCATTTATTACTGCGACGATGCCACTGTGCGGAATCGCCATCAAGGGAGTGGAACATTGCTCCTGTAGGCACTCGTAGTTGGACAGTGGGGGAATACAAAAAAATCAGTAAGGTAATTCGACTAAGGATAACCGATAAAGCCATTAATGTTCTGTTTTCATAATTTGTGGCTACTTGTTTTGCGATTCGAAATAAAAGGAGACCCTTCTTGTTATAATCCTCACAGAATTACTGTAGTTTGCCTCCGTTGTACTGGTGCTGCTGTAGGCTTGTCCTTTGGGATCTCCCTAGCTCAGTTACACTAACATCGTAAGATTATGCTAATTATTGATTTATTGTGTGTCTTTTATTGTGGATTTAATATCATTGTATTTATTTGTTTTCTTTCAGATTGCGCCTGCGAAAAAGTTATGGGGAGTGGAAGAGGGAAAGGCAGACAATAAGGGAATATTCAACATAGGAGAGGCGTCTTGGAGAGAAGCAACATGGAGCACAGGCACAGGTCATGCCACTGGTCCACACCGTAAGTCCTTTAATAATGTTGCTGCTAAACAGAGTGAGTGAAGCAGGATGTAAGCTGTGTAGAGCTGCTGGTGGTTGATATTAGGAGATTTTAATGTTAAGTATATCAGGTCAAGAATTTAGGAGAGAAACTGAACTGAAAGACTTGTCCGGTTAGGATCTATATGAGTTTGAAGATGTGTTAAGTGTTCTTGAACCAAGTTGAAGGTCTTGTCAGGTCAGTAAGTTAATGTATGGAGTGATAGCTAGATGTAAGTGTTTGTATGGGATGATTTAAACGTGTGGTTATTCCGTTGCAGATCACGGTGTGGGCCAGAGTCACGGGTTAGGTATGGGCGTAGGACAGAGGGGTCATGGGCGACCACAGTTCCCTGGGGGCGACTCCGTGTTATCACCACGCGCCACTGACCACACTGGAGTCGGCCTCAAGATGGTCGAATACGTCCTGGCCTCCTCACCCACCGGGAAGGATCTCGACGCCCGCATGGCCAACCTCGCCCTCAGAGTAAGTAACAAGCTGCTCTCTCTCCATTATTGGACCTCTTTGTTACTGCTCCACAGTTGGTATTTATTTATTTATTTTTTTTTTTTATTTATTTATTTATTTATTTATGTGATCAAAAAGAAGTGATTGTCTTTAAAAAGAAGGATGTTTACTTTACCCCGCCAGAACGGAGGTGTGGACAGTACCAAGGACAAGAAAGATAAGGCTCCTTCACCTTTTGACTCCGCGAAAAAGGATGTAGAGAACGGCAACGCCCCACAGGCAAACGGAATAGTACAGAACGGACTCGACGACGACAAAACTTTTAAGTGAGTATAATATTTGAATTCGGGTTTTTTCTGTTCGTTCTTCACAAGGGAATTGGGGTTTTCATAGTTAAAACGACATCAATAAGAATGTGTATCTGGTAACTCTGAAAACACCCGTAGTGACTAGTGTATAGGGGCGACCATGCCTTGCTCAGTGTTCTCACATTGCCTGGACATACATTTATTGCCTTTTCCAATATGAGAATATCTCTTAACTTTGTCTTACCGTTTATACTTGCCAGAGGTCTATCCATTATCCACCCCTTCCCATGTTACTTTCATCAGTAACCCCTAGATACTCCTACCTGTCGTTGTATATCACCTCACATTACTGTAGTATATGTCTCCACCATGTTGGCCATCATCCACCCCACACTCGACACTCTTTCACCAGTATTCACCGAAAGTCGTTCACTCTCCACGTGTTCCCCTCTGACCTGCGCCAGATTCACTCTACCACCACATATACTTTGAAAAAAAAATACCGAATGTAACCTCCTAACGTCGCTCGGTCAAAGTTACATAGTTAGCATGTATTCCCACTATCGTACCTTTATTAATTATGATCTGAAACACTTCGTTCATCCATAACTACCTGCATAAATTTTATCCTTACCTGCTAGCGTACCTAAATCCATTCAGTATACCTTATGTTAGTCCTCTACCCTCACCATCTACATTACATCTATTCACCAAATACGTTGTTTCTGTCCCGGCTTGCCCCTTCCGATCGCCTCTTCATCCGTTCCTATCTGGGTGTATGGTTAAACATCTGGCGTGATACAGCCCAAGTTACAAAAAAGGGGGCGCAGAAAAGCTTCAAGGCAAAAACAACATGTTAGTCACATGTTATATGATTTAAAGTTAAGCCATATATTGTAAATGTCATTAAGTTTTAAACGCAATCCAGCAACTAAGCGGTTTGACTTTAAAAAAGACTTGATTTTCACCTGTGAGGAGAATAACCTTAGAGAGTTAGTTACCCACTACTCCGGTTGACCTTACCTGATCTTATGATATTTACCGAGTGGCGAGTGACCCCAGTCTAGATTGTGAAACTTGCTCATCTTCCCACGTTCCCTCCGGTCGTCTTGGCTGCCGAGGAGTTTCTTTTTAACAAGAAAGCTTCAAGTTACAGGCTCGTAAATCTCTTAAGGTCATGCCAATATTGCAGATCCTCTTAGCATTTTTTTATTCCAATTAGCTCAAGATTTTGTTTCGTGTATTTTTTTCCCACGCAAAAGATTAGTACTGTATCTTTATGGATATCAAAACAGACAAGGCTTTCTAAATTTCAGTATTTTGAGACTTAATTAAGCAGCCTTTTTAGTTATAATTATGCATGTAAACACGATTTCGAGTGAAATAACTTAAGTTGAAACTTCAAGATGTCATCAAGCTTGTTAATATGTCAGAGCTAACTGTCTGGGAGGACCCATTTCGTCTTTGCTGTCGCTAGTATTTAGACTCCGCCTTTGTTAAGTTCGCCTTTGTTAAGTTCTATGAGAAATGACCCAGATTTTAGTGGTTGGTTGTATAAGTGAATGGAGTAGTGTGGGGTGGTGAGTAATAAGCGCGTGTTCACTGTAACTATAAAGGCACGGGAGCTGAACGTGCGGGTGAAACTCTCAGCGCATCAGTGACTCACATGAAACCTCATCCACTTGCTGTAGTTTTTGTGTTGGCAATTTTCTGATTTTCCCCTTGTAAGCAGTGTACATGCAACTGTGTATTGATTTAATGTTGGCGCACAGTTAATTTTTGGTTTGTTATTTACTTGCAAATGGCATATGACCAAAAGAGGTATCGATGGTAACTTAGTCGATAGCGTAATGCGCAAGTGACATCACAAACATGGATACAAAGACTTTAAATCTTACATAATTAACTGGTACAATAATTGTGGAATGGATTCAGTAAAGCTGCAATCCACTCATTATGACAGGTGAAAGTTCTCACAGGGGACAGACGGCCCTCCATAAAACACATGACGTCATATTTCAGACAGTGAAGCTTACGCTGAGATCAAAGGTGATAGTCTAAAATATTATTATTAATATAGCGATGATGACATTGAGGGTACGGTACATGTGTGGAGTAGTGAGGTGGGCTGGACCTTGGTTGAGGAGGTGGTGAGTCAAGCGCTGAAGATACACGTGATCACCACATAAAGCAGTAAAGCAACAAGTTTTATACGTGTGTCGTCGTTATTGTTGCACACCTTGTACCACGCACATATCACCACATCCTCGCCTTAGTATGCGGAGTTAGCGTTATTAAGGTAGATAATTTTTTATTTATTATAAAATGAAGGCCAGTGTTTTACTACAACCCGAGCATTTACAACTTAAATTGGCTGATGTTACAGTTGCGGTAAGGAAACTAGGCAGTCATAGTAAATCGTTTGCTTATTCTGCATTGGAATTGAAATATCCCAGCATATATTTTGAGGTTAAACGTCGCGTGGAAAGCACCTATCGATCTCCATTTTCACGCCTTTCTTCATGATGCTGCACCCTCGTCATGTTTATGCTGCCGACAAGTAGATGTCTTTATCCCTTTCATGTCGAATCGTCTGTTTTTCTACTTATAAAAAGTAGGTTCACAAAGACTGTGTTAATCATCGACAAGTATGGACGCCGTTAATCTTCATTAAGTTCAAGAAAGACCGCTTCTCAATCTAATACATCCCAAAACCTTAGTCATGACTGTTTTTCAGTACTGCTGGGGAGGACCACCAGCCCCCCCCCCCTCCCCTGTCCTGTGTTATTGCATCCTTCCTACTGTAAAGCTTAATCAGGAAGCTGCTACAGTATTGTTATACATATGGTGTGGTTACATTTGGTCGTAGTTAATGGTGGGATGTGCAGTACAGTCGCTTGTAAAGGGAGGTCAGTATTATGTACTAATGTATATGCGTGGATAAAAGTGAAAGCTGGGTCGCGCTATCGACGTTGACCATCGTCACACAGCGGCCTTCCGAGGTTAGGTTATCTTTGGTACTGTATATTGTACTGTACTTACGACTCGGTGGGTGACCGACCGCTCTAACACACTTCAGAATTTACACTTAGGGGTAAAAATGTTAAATTTCTTACTTTACCTCCTATATTAAAGACGGTTAATCTACTTGAGACATGTTACAGGAATGGTTGTCGGTTATACAAGTAATTTTCATAGTTTTATTGCAAAACATTGTTTAATCTTTTAGATATATTGACAGTGGCCAAGCGTGAATATCAGTGTCATAGCAAACTTTTTACATCATTGATGCAAATTTTGTGTATATTTGGAAGAATATTAGGTTACACTTGACTTTCTGTCAGTTCGCCTGTGTATCCCTATCCCCCCAAAAAGATAAAGAAAATAGATTAAAGCCCAACTAGAAGCCATCGAGCTGCATGGATGGCAACATGTCAATATTGTACGGCAAACTAACACAAACCCACACGTGTGAGTTTGTTGGAGGGAGTGTGTGGACCTCCCTTGTTAACATGAGGATGAGTGCTGTTATTTAAGGCATTAATTTCTTAAAACGATCCAAAAGTCTCGCTAAAACTTACTGGAGGTAAACGCTAGAATTGTTACATGAAATACACTAGTAGGTCGCGCGCACAAGTGTTTGGAGGAAGACCTGTTATTATCCCGCCACTCGGTACACCTCGGTTGAGAAGTAACTGTATCCTGGGGGGGGGGGGCACAATATTTTTCCGTTTTTTATGTAAGAAGTACGTACAGTAATGAAAGTTCAGTTTGATGTTGGAAGTCTTCCTGTTATTTTATTACGTTTGTTGAAGTGGGTTGAAGGGCTGGTGCTGGTCAATGAAGGCTAGGTTATGGTGCAGTTGTAGTTAGTGGAATATCGCTGCTTCTGTTTTACTGTACAAGTATTTGTAAAAAAAAAAGAATTGTACTCGAGTTCATATAAAACAAAAGAAAAAACCTCTTGTGTACAAATTTAGATACAATGTCGACGCGTGGTGTATCATAATTATTAAGAATAACCGTTCAGCTCAACGTGCACGGTGATGTGAGGCTATACCACCCTAATTTAACGAAACAACTGATCAGTAATTTATGTCGTCGCCCCCCCCCCCCTCTCCCCCGTTCTCAAAATACCGGATATCGAATTATTGTAGTTTCGTTGTATGGTGCATTAGTGTGGAGAGTGTACATAGTATATATAGCAACTTAAAATTTACATAAACACGTTGAGGCTATGTTGTGTATGAGGGGAAAAATGTAATTTGCACTAGAACAAACTTTCTCATCCGCCAGCAGATGTGTTCAACGTAATAACTCGCATAGGAGGGTACACTACAATATATTTTAGATGAACATGCTGATAGATTAATTACAGGGCATACTTAATGATAGTAGTGTGTTGCAATCTCACAGCCGGACGCCGGGGAGCAGACAGGGATCGCCGTCGGAAGAAGACCTCAACAAAAACGGCATGGTACCGGGCGTAGGTGTCAAAGAACCTGAGTTGGTGGGCGGTGGCGTGGTGATGGGCGGCCCTGGAGCACAAGTTTTAGGACATCTCGATCATTCGGGGTTCGACGGCGTGGGCGGCGGAGCTGTGGGCGGCATGGGTGGCCCTGCAGGCATGTTAGACCCAAGCATGAGCGGTGCGGGCGGACCCTTCTCCTCTCCTGCAGGACCTGACTACAACAATATGGCCACCAGCATGCCCATGGACTCTCCTACCTTACTGCCCGCCCCAGGGGGACCTCAGCCACAGAACTTTACAGACAGTCAGGTGAGTACTACACTATACAGTATCTCCTTAATTCCATCTTCTATCTCGTATGAATTCTATACTCACTTGGCTGGTATTTTAATATGACTTTTCGAAATCATGTTTTAAATTGTTTAATTGTTGTAATGTTAAGGTCAGTATTCCCGTACTCCTAAAATAAGTCTCACATCATTAGTTTGTATTACCATGAACGAAGGCAAGAAAAAATACATTTGGTGAATGGATAATGCCATAATAAAAGCTCCTTCCGGCCCAGTGGGGGATATGATATTGACCTTTTGTTGATACTGTACATGCTGCCGGCTTTGTCACACGAAGGTATATGTACGGAATTCCTTAAAAATTGGGCCAAGGTTGAGTTTTTTCTTTAACGTGATGTTCATCGACGGACTTTTACTACCCGGAATTACATTATTTTGTTAAGGGCTTCACACAATTGACCCACAACAGAAAGGTAACGACCGCCGAAGTACTCATTTGTTTTATGGTCACATTTTGGAAACCGGGAGGGTGACATTGGTTTATGCTTCACGTGAATTGTGGCTTCATACATATTGCTGATAAGTAAAGGTAGATATCATATCAATACATGACAGTTATGAAATGCCAGGGCACTGACCCTATTTAATACAGTACAAAGATTGCCGTCAGGTGACGGTTCACCATACTGTATTTGTCAAGCTAAGGTCCATTAGCATGGTTTTAATATGTAGCATCATGACCAACACTTGTGCACCTTGAAATATCGCATCAATATGGATTTAACGGATGCGCGATGTCATTTCCATTCAATATCTCTTAATTTTTTAATACTGACTCTTATTTGACTTGTTATGAAAAGAAAGGGTCACTTGGTAGGGTTCATTCTTAGTGTCTACTAGTTGTCCTGGTAGCCAAGTATGACCGTTGGATGAGCTCCAGGCATATTAGATTCTGCAGTGAATAAATGTAAATCTTGTCCAGCAGTGTAGTGTAGATGTAAACTAGTAAACCTTATAGCTATACGCCGCCTGGATTTCCGCGAAAGCAAAGTATGATATTCAATTATGCTTTGCTATCAGGGCATTAAATTTCATTACTAATACGGAATTGCTGACCTGAGCTGTGATGAAAATTTTGTGTTGTTGTCTTTCATTGTACAGTAGAAGCTACGTAGTTGAACACTTGAAAGGTAAGTTGTTTTGAGGACCTGAAGTGTTCAAACATGATGCTTCGCTAAATCTTGTGTACCGGTAAGTCTGGGAATCTTGTTACTCGTATATATGAATGAAATAACCTATGATGTTGTTGGCATATAGTAAGGTCGCGGATTCTACCCACAAAATATTTTTATTGAGAATATAGGACAACGAATCATTATTTTTTTTTATTACAACCGACCACATATTTAAACCGTATACAGTATTCCAAACTTGTCTATACATGGGTAGTTTTTTGTGAGGCTAGATTTATTGTGATTCATTCATGTTAGTGTGCAAAACAAGTGGCTTTAACGGGAATGTTTGTGGTGCTCATACAGGTATATCATGTTACTGGTTTAGTGTAGCCCACCATGACAGCCATAAGAGAGAACGGGTGCAGAGAACGGCAGTGAGAGAAAACGGCAGCGTTCAGAGGTGAGAGCGGTGACTAACATAAACGACTGTTTGGGAATATGACATGCATTGTTTTTAAAGTTATATTTCATGGAGGTTAAATGTTATTGACAGTTAAATCACCCTTATTACTCACAGTTTTAGTGATGGTGACTGGATGAGTTGGTGTGAGTGACGTGTGTGTGTTATTGTGGACCCAGTGAAGGGGTTGTGGTCACGTGGCCATGAACAGTGGTTTCAAATTTCTGTATCCTGAATGGTATTTTAGATAGCTTGGTTTGCTGTCTTTTATAGAGAGGCTATAGGGAGTGAAGGGAGACTGGATTAAGATAACAATGGCCGTATTAAAGTTTGATTTCAAACGTTATTTACTATTATTAGCATCTGTGTAGTTATCCGTGGCGTCACAGCAGTCAACAACAGTGTGTGACGTTTCATCTGGCTGTGAGCGAGAACTTGGATTTAACGAAAATTGACTCCTGTTATTTTCACAAAAATATCAAAGATGTCGCTTATGTTTTGTGCATAAAACCAAGGTACGGTGCAGTATATGGGTTTAAGGGTAACCTTGCTTATATGATCATTTACTACAGAGAGAGAGAGATTCAGCGAAGCTTTGGGAAATACATGAGATGAACGGTGTTTTGAATGGAAGTTTCAACTTTCGTTGGTAAGATTTATTAAAAAAAAATAAAGAAACCAACACTGGTGTCCACATATAAGTCATTCAGCGAATGTCATTTTAATAACCACAGATCGCTAAAAGCTGCGTAGCTAAATAAAAGCAACACCTTAAATATTGAAAGATGGTTAACAGATAAGAGATTGTAAAACTGACCTGTATAGGTTTTGTCACTTCGTTGACTGTTATCGCCTCGGTAGTCATCGTATCATAGTAAAATGTCGTGGAGTGAACTATAGGCGTGTAAGTTACTTCATACAAACTCGGGCTATTCCTCGAGATGTTTTACCACATTCTCGGCACTAGTCCAGGTATGTTTTATTGGGGAATAATTTCAGTTGGTTAAGAATCAATGCAGTAAAATGAAAAGACAATTTGGAATTTTGCAGATAATCATGTCCTTTTTATGTGTAATAAAAATACCGGAATTTATATCACTAGATATCAAGGGCTCTCTCCCCTTGACTCCGTGTTCGGGTGTTTGCCAGTTGTAAATAACGTTGTGCACGATTGTATTATCACCTTTTGACCAGATGTTACATACCTAACCTAGTTTAGGGTTTTACGTCTAACCAGATTGAAATTTACGGTTAAGGGTATATAAACCCATTTAGTTAAGTAAATACGTTTCCACTATCCTGTGTGACTGACGCACTGTTGCGACATATACAGAGGATCGAGCAATATTTGTGTACATTCTTCATCAGTTGCCCAGTGGGGTAAGAGAGTGCTACTGTGGACCCCAAGACTGCTTTAAACAAGTCCCCAAGGCCATTCGCTCGTCTGCCACGTCTTGTATAATTCTGGCTGGACATACCGCCTTTTATTTTTGTGTACACACAAGTTTTGTGGTTTAAAGAGGATTCTGGTTATTTCGTTTACCTCTAACTGGATTACCTTCATGATCGTTGACCTTTAGGTTGCAAGAGAAGTCTTTTCCTTTACCCCGGGAAGAATTCACGTCAGCCAGTGATGCCATCTCGTATAACCATTTTTATACACCAGCAGAGCGGAGTGTATTGCTTTTTGATGCTGTCTGTCTGTCCCTTTATTAAACTTTGGTTTAAGCGTTTGCGTTTCGTTCCGTTTTACAGTCATTGTGGGTGTATTTTGGACCTTTCACAGGTGCTCTTGTTAGCAAATTGTTCTATCATGGTATGTTTTAAGTGCGTGTTGCTCTCTTGCTCAATAGACGTATGACGTTACGATATGTTTGACTTGACCGTGTTACTGAAACTTTAATACGGGTGTGTTGGGTGGGTCCTCCATGGTGGCAGAAGTGGACTTAAGGTGGTGTGTGAGTTAGTGTCCAGTCCTACACATTGTTGCCAAAGTTCGCCCTCGGGGTCTGTGTTGTATCTTGCCCCGATCTACGTCTCTACTTTCGCCCTTGTTTCTTATAGCTTAATGTTCTTCTCCGCAATTTTTAAACTTGTGACATGAGTTTTCTTCCCAAGTAACAAGCACTCAAAGGCCTGAACTTACATTTGACCCTAGTCCCATGCAGCATATTTAAACTTGTAGAATTTGTTGCTTCATAGATTGCTAGTGCTGCAGTTGCTCCTATTGACGTCTGTTTCAGGACACTTGATGTTGTTTGAGGGGACAAGAAGTGGTGTGAGGGCATGATGAGTGGTGTTACGGGTGTGATGAGATAGGACTTGGTTTATGAGGGGATGAGGAGCGGTGTGAGGGGCAGTGCGCGAACTTTTGTTTGTATGACAGGTGATACCGTCGCTGACTAATCCGCCAACAGTCATAATTGCGTGCCAGGTTCGTCCCCACTACACGCCATGCCACATTCACGCCGCTCTTACCTCCACACCTATTGCTTGCGTCATCCACCACCACTCCCACGCCACCATCACTACCACTCCTACGCCACCATCACCACCACTCCCACGCCACCATTACCATCACTCCTACGCCACCACCACCACTCACGCCACCATCACCACCACTCCCACGCTACCATTATCATCACTCCCACGCCACCATTACCATCACTCCCACGCCACCATCACCACCACGCCACCACTCCTACGCTACCATCACCACCACCCCTCCGCCACTACCACCACGCCACCATCACCACCACTCCTACGCCACCATCACCACCACCCCTACGCCACCACTCCCACGCCACGACAACAACAATTATCTGGCCTCACTTAGGATAGGACTGGCTCGCATTTAGGAGATTAGGCGGCGCTACTTAGGCGATTTACTTATGATAAACTGACAGCATACACCAGGAGAGTTCCCATAAGTTATTGATTTTGCACCACTTGTTGGGAAAGTCCGTGGCTTCACTGTGAGTGCTGTTATCTTGCCCTGGGCGTTTACAGTATTCTTACTATTAGTCAGGATAGACGTTATCTTTAGTGTTGGCTAATTTGTACGTTCTTGTGATTTGTAATAGGGACATTACATGAGAATTGTGCTTATCGTTTTGTTCTTTTACTCAGTTCTAAGAGAATATTATAATAAGCACAGCAAGAGGTTGGCTTGAGGTGAAGGAATGGGGAGAAAGAGCGGGGTAGGAGTAAGGGTTTGGGGGTATCGGAGGGTAAGGGGGGGGCGAGGGGAACAAGGAGGTCCTTCAGGGCACTACAGAGGACCCTTGACGTGACCCCGCCCCGGTTCCCTGGACCCGCAGCACTGGCATCCCGGGGCTACACAACACCCTCAAAATATTAGGCATATCATCTTCTATACATTGT